CATTGTTAGGTGAATGAATAGGGCAAGTCTCAAAGGTATCCGCCCCGAGCCCCAAATGACCCGTTTTGCACGTAGTCCTTTACCTTAGAAGAAAACTGAACGATTCTAATCCGTCTCTAGCAGTGACCTGAATATTTCATTAGGAACACTAAATGTTTACATTGGATGCGATTAGCTTCAGCGGAATAAAGAAAAACAAGAGTTTTGAACAGAGGGGAGGGGAAAAGATCGTGGTGGGGCACTCATGCTTCAGAATCTGGATACTTCCCAGTGGCCAATGATGCAAGAAAAGATTATGGTTATGCCCTGTTAATTTACTGTCTTACAAGAACGTCCTCAGAGAAATATTCTAAACCCAAGTATAATGGAACAGTATTAAGATAATCATTCAAACAAGATAACTGCTGAAAACTGAACAAACCTGGAGGAGAATCAACGATGATGAAGGGAACTAACAGACTGCTCTCAAATTAGAGAATTGAGGAGAAAGCTGGTTGACTAGACTGGAGGAGAGAATAATAGGAGAGCTAGGCTCAGGGAAAACCTCAGATCCTGGTACGTGACAAAAGGGTATCCAGCACAAAAGGACATTAGGCAGTCAGCAGTAGCTGATCGGTGCCACTGGGGAAAAACCCAAGACAAGAGAAACTAAGGAGGGCTGTGTTGTCAAATATTTCCAGAAAGAATTACTGAGGCTTCCATAACTGTCAAAATGCCTTCTACTACAACTGACCCTCCAAAATTAACTCATATACCATAAAATCTTCATCTTCCGATTAGAACAAACTTTGGTTTAGGGCGGGAAAATTCAGGGCGCATGCAAAAGTTGGAAAAAAAGGGAAAATAGGCAATTTGGAAAGACTTGAGCCATTTTAAAAAGAAGATAGAGGAAATTCACCTTATCTTCTTGAAAATCATGTTACAACTCGCATGTGTGTTACCATGTTCAAGTTCCCTTTTTCAGTGGATCAAAGTTAATGGAGGAAAATAATAAAGAAATATTAAAAAGTTTGAATCGGACGGAAATACACAGACTCATCAATTTACATCACTTGAAACTGTGTACTTGTGAACTCAGGATAATTTGTCACGACTTTCCTTTAATCGAGTGGATAGACTTGAATGGAGATGATAATTTATTACTTAAAACGCCGCCAAGTAAAAAAAAAAATTCCACTGCATAACAAAAAAATAAATATCTCACTGTCAACCCCTAATCAGACATTTGTTTCAAATGTGAAGACAATAGAGCACTGAATAGGACGAGAACTAACCTGTAAGTGTAGAGGAAGCCGCTATCACACTGCCGAGGATTCAATTGTAAATCTTTGGCAACTCCCAGTACAACATACTGCTGGTCTCCGCTTACACTAAATTTACACAGGGCAATACTGAAAAAAAAGGGAAAAAAATTAAACAGGAGTCAATATGACTGCCAAGTTGCTGTGTCAAGAATTACTACTAAAATGTATATCATACGAAATAATAAAGGCAAATGGAGGAGTGTTGATATCATTGGAACTGTTAGAATCCGCAAAACCAAACAATGCTCTTGGCTGAAAAGCCTAGCAGTTTTGGGTGAAGCAACTCTCTTTTTGATATATGACTATCGTAAAAACTCGCAACTCAACAATGACTTGCAAGAGGAACGAGGTCAAATAATTTGTGATTATTAATGAAGAAATAAGCAACATAGATCTGCGTTGGAAATTCTCACTGATGCTGAATTCAAATAAAATGTTGTTAATAGCAACTAAAAATCAAAACAGGTCATCCAAACATGTTATACATCTGTGATGAAGGTATGAGTTAATAATTCTCTGATATTCAGCTTTTAAATTCTTCGCCAACAAAGATCAGCTTGAGTAAGAACGTTTAAATTGAATGGATGCAGTAGAATAAAGGTAAGTTGTACCCCACAGCATAATACACATTCAAGCAGCTTTCCTGGAACTACTAAAAAAGATGAGCTCATATCAATTCTTCACAATGAAAATCTTAGAGTGCAAATTCATCAACTAACGGATATTCTCCTTTTCTCATAGGCAAATTAGAATATCCACTTCTTAATACTGATTAAAAAATGTACAAACCTAACAACAGCCTCATTCTGAGCAAATCTGATTACTTGCTCCGTTTTTCCTTCAACTGGATCCAATATCCGCACTAAGGAGGCCCACATACCGCTGCCTGCCTTGGGTGCACCAAAAATATTTTCCGGTAGGTCTTCAGTCAAAAAGGCTTCGGCCATCTCCCTCGCTAACTCTTCCTCTTCTTCGCCTGCAGCATCTCTCATTTCCTGTAAGAGTGAGAATTGCAATCAATACATGAAAAGAACTGGGACAGGCAAGAACTTGTACCAGCTAGTTAACTGGAGGAGGTCAAAGTTTCCTGAGCATGAGCGAAAATCTTTATCTTGCAATTGCAGCCAAAGCTACACATGAAGATGATAATAGTTGTGTATGAATTTGGCAAAGAGGTTTCTCTCTTGACAGAAGTCGCGATGAGAGGGAGACAAAAACTGGACCAATTGGTTAAGTGACCTGTTAGTGAGAGCTCTAAAATTGCAGGGGGGCAAAAAAAATCTAAATCTTAATTTTTGTTTCTAAAAATCAAGAGAACTTATTTTTTAGAACGTAAATGTTGCAATCTTCTCGCCTCTGATGCTAAGACGTAACTTGCATACCTCAGCGGAACATATATCAAGAAGAAAATTACTGATCAATCTGTTAAATGAAACAATCTTGTCAGAAGAACTAGGGTACCATATGATAGAATCATTGAGGTCATTCCAAGCGCGCGATGGTTTTCATCATACAAGATTAAGTTGATTTCAGACATCACACGAAAACCTGATTTTGTTAAATCAGGTTTTCGTCGGATTATCTCAACAATTCACAGAAGGAAAAATCAACATAAAAGGAGAAAACTAGTTTCAGAAAATTATTTATCTTAACTATTTAGAGGAATCAAATGATTCACTGAGATACAGCTGTTTTCGTTAAAATCTTATCTCCTTACACGGTGCCCCTGAACTCACTTTAAATGCGACTTTGTTGTACATCAAAAATTCAAGT